TTACATAGGGCGTACTTTCTTATTACCACGACTATATATCATGGTGACTTACATCCAATGAACAGAGCGCATATGAAGGCTGTTAAAACTTTTAACACAAATTTCGCTTCCATTCTGTGACAATGACTGAGAATGCATCGTGTGCTGTTCCTGGATCAGTGCTGACAATCCACTATTTTCAGTGCAGTAATGAAGGAGCGAGTGCTTTGTTACATGATATAATCCTCACATCCTCATTAAAAAAGTGCAGTCAAATTGCACCACTCATGAAATCTTTAAAGTGAATGTTTGAAAGTGTTGAGGTTTGTTCAGTCTCAAAAACTCAACCTACCCAACTTCAGGCTCAAGCCTGCTGACTGCTGTTTGGCCACCACCTTCCCATTCTGACCAATCACACAGAAGCTTCAGAGCTGGACCGGCCTATTATGAAAACCTATTGAAACTCAACTCAGAAACACTATACTGGGACGTCAGGGGACTAACTCTGATTGACGTAATCGTCAACCTCACTAAACTTCATTTCCCAGGACCCTTTGTGGTGTTCTAGCCGACGCTGCTACCTCTGGGTCTCGTCCATTTAAAGCAATACCACAGTGGTAGAACTGCAGTGACGGGAACAGAGAGCGAGAAGGCCATAGCAACCGATGATCGGAGGAACTCTCTGTACCTTTTTACACAGTGTGGTTGAGTGCTCTTTGTGTATATTATCTGTCAGGTGGAATGGAGAGGCAGTATTGATTGATTGATTTATTGACCTGTGTTTCCAGGTGGTTTAGTGTAGTCTTTTTGTACTATTGTAAACACTAAGGGCATTTTGTCCATTTAACACGCAGTCAGTAATAGCAGCGCCTTGCGTCGGGTTCGTGGGGGCCGTAGAGTGAGCGAGAGCTGGACAGGTCGATCGTTTTAATGACCTGACACCGCAGTGCTACACGGGGTCAGCTTCTGAGCTCGACTGGAGTTCATGCAAGCACAAAGGGAGCAAATGAAGAACTTTGGAGGCAAGCAGCAACTACCACAGGTGTTGGTTCAGATGAAAAATACCTTAACATTTATAAAAATGAGTAACAACAAGTAAAAGATTCACTTTGTTAAAGGATCTTCCATTCCCTCAATAACTAGACTAGCATCTTGTGGGCATCATGGTCACTGTGGCCTAAACCAGCGGTCCCCAACCTCTTTTGCGCCACAGACCGGTTTATGTCTGACAATATTTTCACCGACTGGCCTTTAAGGTGTAGCGGGTAAATGCAACAAAATAAAACCAGTACCAGTACCAAAAAAAAGAAGATTTATTCATAACACACGGAAAGGACCCAGGGAAACCGAGTTAACGAAAAAAACGATAAAAAAATAATGCTAAAAAACCCTGAAAACCATGAATTTCACACCTGAGCCTCAATACTCGCATCCCGGCACCAAACTACTCATGGACCGGTACCAGTCCCAGGCCCGGGGGTTGGGGACCGCTGGCCTAAACTGTTAAACCAGTGAAGAAGAAAAGACTGAGTTGATGTAGTTAAACAGTAAGACTTTGTTTTCCATTTTAGAAAAGATGATATAGAAATGTAGTTTTGCTTTTTGTAATAATTAGGAAAAAGGTTCAGTAGCAGCAATTAGCATCTAATCTAATTGGTAGGTTTTCCTTTGAGATGCAAACAAGTGAAGAGAAACCAGTAAAATGGAAACAACCAATAAATCAGATGTTGGTTTTCTAAGTCCTTTGATTTGGAAGTGCACACAATTTTTCCAATTTTCCTTGTTCTTGCATTCACAAAGGGAACAAATTGTTAGTTGATTTCCTGTAAATCAAGTTTGGATAACAATTTAGGTATTTTCAAGAATTAAAATCACATTAAAAAAAAGCCTTGACCCAACAAGTCAACATGTAAACCTATAAGAGCTCATGATTAGCTACCTTATCTCGCTAGGTCAGACTTATTTTGTGGTTTTTATTAGTTCCACAATAAAAATTAAAGATTTAAAAGAATTAGAAAAAAAATAACAGGAAAATCCTCCCAAGATGTTGTTCAGATGGGTTTCTTGCAAACTCAGTCGGATCTAGAAACGGAATTGCCAAGCGAGCAAAACTTGACACCAGCAAAGTTTCCAAAGTATATGACGGCAAACGTTTATCCCTTTCTTCACACATGGTTGTGAACAGTTCTAAACTTTGCTCATCTTTAAAAATACCCAAATTTCATATTAGCATTACTGTCCAAGATTCGATTTTGAGTGAGCTCCTCTGTGTCGTCGTAGTCGACAGATGCGATGGACAAACCTGGCCTAATTTGGAAAAACTGAATGAACCACTTGTGGTTGCGTTGATTTAGCACGTTACCAAGAGACGGCCAAACCCTTCAGCTGTAGTGGTTGCTGCTTGGTGTCGAGGACACTTATGAGCACAGATCGAGGTGGGAAACATTGGGATCTTGCCTCAGCACGGGGGCTGATTGCGCTAGCTGGAAGAGCCCAAAGAGAAGAGGGAAGGGAATGGAGAACTCTTTCAGGACACCGTGCTGATGCAGAGAGATGGTTTGGGTTGTCAGGGCACCTCCCCAGCCTGGAGGCCACATAGCTTTACTGCTGCTGCCACCCACACGACACTGAGGTGAAACGCACACAGTCACACACACTCGGACTATTTTGCTACGAGTTGATACTGTGTATTTCTTGATATGTTTGATACTGTGGTGTAAATGTAGTGTCCTGCTATCATGCGGTGTTCAGGGGCGGGGGTGGGAGAGCGGTACATTTGGGCTGTCGGGTGGGAGGGAGACAGAGGAGGTTCGCCCTCTCTCCCTCATTTACCTCCTGTTTTTTGAGGGGAGACGTTCTCTCTGTTACCTTTCACTCGTTTCAGCTCGCGCCTGAAACGTTGTTTTTTTCTTTTCGGGAAACGCCATTTTTGTTGAAACTGATCACGAGCACATTCCTGACTCTTCTCTGTCTGTGCTGTTGTTTTCTCCAGATTCTTGCCTGTTGCGACGATATAACATGTGTCTAGTTCTTGCTGACTCACATGTATATAAAGTGCATATATGTGTACACATGTGCAATACACGCTATTCGAGCAATCTATTACTGTGACTATTATTGATGATGATACTTGTCCCTTTTTTGAAGTTTCAGCCTGTTTTTTGTTTGTTTTGTTTATTTTTTGTTCCCCTCCTCGTCCTGATTTGCTGTTGATGGATTGTGTTGCAGGAGCCTAAAAAGGGAAGGTGACTATTGTGATTCTTCACGCTCAGTTTCATTTCAGGGGTTTGTGGACATTTTAACGAAGCCCTTTTTTTATTACTCTCGCTGTAATGTTGTGATGTTGACCCTGATTACCTGTTTCTCTGTTTTTTCTTTTTATTGTTTTTTTTAAGTGGGCTTGTTGTTAAATTTGTCTGGAAACTCAATAAAGCAATTCACCGATGGTCTGTGCAGTAACTTGTATTCTGAAACTTACAGAGCGCTTTTCTAGTCTCAGATACAGCAAGAGGCTGTCTGTATACAGACTATGGATTGTTTGTAAAGCCTGAAAGTTGCCATCATGATGTGATCAACTGGCGCTAACTCTTGAAGGAATTCAGCTCGGCTTTTGAAATTGATACCACAGGCGCGTCCACTGGGAGGCTGAGATGGAGTTACCCTGGTGGGTGGCAGTATTTTTGAACTCTTTGTTCAGTTTAGCTTTTTGACTGTCTTGATTTTCTCGAGCCAGAAGTGAGCATATTTGAGCTAGCAAGCGTGGTTATTGAGCTGAAGCAAGCCAAAACTGAAGCTCAGGCGTGTCTGTACCACACAGCGAACCATATTGTTTCATATGATTCCAGTAAAATGGTTTAAAGATGACTCACAAGTCCACTTCTAATTAGCAAAGATGAGGTCTGTGTTGGAACATCTGTCCATGGCTAACTAAGCCTTAACAAAACAGCAGCTGAAATTAGCCATAGACTGAATTTCATTGTTGAAGTTGGGGTTTTTGATGTGATCGACTTGTCTTTCAAGTGGCCTGTAGAGCAAGTGCTCGGGGTTGTACAGCCTATTGGCTGCTTGCTGAAAAGTCATACAGTGCACGAGGAGAACCCTCCTCTGAAAACTCTGGATTGGAGAATGGAGACCAAACTTTTGAAGTAATCATCGTTATGGACACTGTTAGCTTAGCACTAAATCGCTATGAGCCTTTAAATCGCATTTGGATAAGGTTTTATATTTGGTGTAGACATGAGAGCATCATTAACCTTGTTATGTTGTTTATGCCCTACTGTCAGTCATTAGTGTGATCGTAAGGTCATATCTGAAACAACTCTTCTACTTGTTAGATCAGCTTAGGCAAAAAGGAAACAGGACACACACACACACACACACAAATGCTTTCTAGGCTCATTCAAAATGCATCTGCTCCTCTAAGAGTGTGTTCACACAACCTTATTGATTAGTATATTTATTTTTCTTCCAACTCCTCTGCAGTTTGTTTGAGGAAAGGGCCAGATCTCATTCTAATCCATCTCCATTAGCATGTGTCCTCATTATGGGATGCAGCAGAGCACTCACACCATAGAAACTGATTCTACTAGGAGCAGCTCGACAATGTTTCTCTGTGCAGCAGGAGAACACTTTTTAGGTTTCTGGGTAAAAGGGAAGTGAACCAAGTTCCCAAACTGGTCGTGCCTCAGGTCTTCTTTGGGCAGAACCAGGCCAACGGTTCAACAAGGCCACAAAAATGAAGTTGCATCTTACAATCCACCATGTAGGAGTTTAAACATCTTTGCCAGGTCACAGACATTTTTATCAGTAATGACAACTTATTTGTGAACAACTCATTTGTGAGGAAAAGACCCACTGACTGATCTGCTTTTATGCTAACTGTGACAGGCCTAAATCTGGTCCTAGCACTGGAAAAAGCTGCTAAAATGCAGCCAGTTTGTAACCAGTAACCCAACTGGTGACCAAATTAAGGGATCCTGCAAATTCCTCAAAAAAACAAAAACAATTACACTCCTATTAGATTTCTTTTAATTAGGCTTTATTATTATTCAATTTTCACTTTGACAAGAGCTGAAACTTAGTAAAAAAGAAATATTATTAAAATGAATTAGTTTTTTCAGAAACTTTAAGGACATTATTAGTTTATTGTATAGAAAAAGGAAAACAGCTGTGAATATCCCTCAAATATAATTTTCATATTGTGTCTGTATATCATCTCTCACACAGTTGATCTTGTCTGCTTTGACTGCTTGATGCTTTAGCTCTCTGGTGAGTAGATCTTGATGAGGTGTTGCAGTTCGGTGGGATATCCGGTGACTGGGCAGCGGTGGTTACTTTTCACGTATGTGTAAATGCAGCGGTAACAGAACACGAAGCCCGAGGTGGACAGCACGGTGGCATTGGTGTGGGGCTTCCTGCACAGAGGACAGTTCCTGCTTTCTGAGCCCAGCCCGCCCTGATCCTGCTGCAGGTGGAGCGGGGGTGGAGGAGCCGGCAGGGAGGTGAGAGCTTTCACTGTGCTGAGGTTCTCCGACGAGTACCACCACTCCAGGAACTGCAGGAAGAAAACACCCATAGAGAGGGAAGAGGAGACAGACACAGCCATGCCCCTCGCTGCTTGTGACATCATCCACCACGCTCTCTGCATCACGCTGTGAACACAGAAACAATGCATTGTGGGTGTTTAGCAATGTTTTTTTTTTATGACATTCCTCATTCAAGAACTGTAAAAAATATCACTGAGTGTATGTTTGTGTGGCCTCAAATCAATTCACCAAATGAGCTAAAGCCACACAGTGCACATCAGCAAACATTAAACTTGATAAGTGTTTAAAGTACTTAAACCTTTGGCCAAACAAAGTGAAATTAATCTCACTGTCTGAATATTCTCTGTGAAAAACATCTGTTTTCTAATGTGTTGGATCTGAGCCATCCCAGCAGACAGGCTTGGACCATAAGGACACAACAGTTTTGTGGTTTTTACATCACTGACTAAATGCACTTTAATGCATGGAACGTTGTATCAGCAACATAGAGTTAAACAGGCTGCATGAAAAACTTCCTTCAGTTTAGAATCTGCAACTGGTGATCTATCCGGGTACAAAGCACACCTGTTAGGACACCACTGTGGGTAAAAACAGAGACAGCAAGGAGTTTGCGAGCTGTACCTTCCTCCAGCTGGTCTCCCGGGAGTCCTGGCTTTCCACTCCATGTCTCTGATATCTTGAGTGTTAAGTCGTTCCAGTCTGACCCCGGCCAGCCACAGGAGAGGACTGTGGGTCCTGGAGACTCCAAAGACAAACAGCAGCTGCTGACAGAAGATCCAGGTCTGCCAGGCTGAGCTGACGTACGGATATGCTGCTACGGCCGCCCGGTACAGCCTCTGGCTCCTCGTCTGCGCCAACCGGATGGAGAAATCCTCCTCATCCCTCTGCCGTGCCAATGTAGCCTCTAGCTTGGCCTGCAGGTATGGCAGCAGGCACAGAAGAAGAAGAGACCACCAGCGGGATGTCCTGGTCATCCCGAGGCGCACAGGAAGTCTCTGCCTGCCTGAAACTCTTTTCAGTCCGTAGAAGTTCTCCGAGAAGGAGGCACTGCAGTTAGACAGGAAGTGGTTCTGAAGGAGGAGGTCCAGCAGCAGGTAGAGCTCATCAAAGCATCGCCACAGGAAGCCAAAGCGGGATGGGTTGGACTCTGCCAGAACCTGGAAAGGACACCAGGAGCTAGGCTGTTAGAACCCTAACACTGATCTATGGAAAGTATAAGTACCACCACACACACACGCTCACTTTGACTGCATGTTTCAGTGCCGGTCTGACCGCCTCCATCAAAGACTCCTGTGCCAGGACTTCAAACACTGATGGCTGCTCACTGACAACCGTGGATGTGAGATGGGCTCCGGCCTCAGCCATGGCTGCTGCACAAACACAGCACAGTTACCTTTTACTGCCTTTTGTATGACCACTGCACTCAAGTCCAGACTGAGAGACTCTTCCATCTGTATCTTCCACCTAGAGCAGGGCGATATGGCCAAAAATATTTATCACGATATATATTGGAAAATTTGCGATAACGATATAACAGACGATATAATTGATGCGAGACAAAATACAACTCCACAACATTACTAGCGCAAAAAGACAACCTTCCATTTATTTTCACTTAAACAAGAAGCTGGTTTTTATGTACATTAAAGCTTTATAAAAATGTAACAGTGCAAATGCAAATTCCTTGCTGAAAGTTTAACCAAAAGGCATTTCCAGTAGAAATGGGCTGACATATCCTGAGCATAACCATGTATAATATCCACTGAAGTTAAAAAGAGGTGCTTTGCAACATTAAACTGCAGTGTGCAGTACGTATTTTTTGGACCATAAGGTGCACGGGATTATAAGGCACATTAAGCGAAACAAAGCAGTCAGATAAATCAAACTTTATTAAACTCATTCTTCTTGCTTCCTCCACTTCTGTACCATTGATTCATTAATGTTGAATTCTCTGGCAGCTGCTCTTTTCCCATGTTGTTGCAGTATATTAATGACTAACCTGGTATTGTGGATGGATTATCTCAGTTGTTCTCCTGACTGAAGTTTGGTCCGTTTACAGCATCCTGCCATGCGATTGCATTTGTCTCTAACCATGAAGAACCTTCACATTAACTTTTATAAGTGGAAAAGTGTTAGTGTTCGTCCTCCAGCTTCACTGCTTATGTTATGCTAACATAGCTGTGTCGCTAGCGATCACGTAGCACATCATTATATACCAGCTAGCCCAACTTCAGTAACCCTACAAACGTCACTGCTGTTTAGTTTCCTGTCTTCATTTATGTTGGAAGTGATAGCAGAGCTGTACGTTTGATTTTTTTCAGAAATCTCTCAGTCAGAACATGCTATATCATGCTTAGGTAACTAGCGAAACTAGCGAGCTAACTTCCGCTAGCTTCCTGCTAACTTCTAACTCCGTTAAATGTAATAACTTTTGTTTTCATGGATGCCTGGAAGTTAAACTTTATAGTTACACCTGGTAAAGCAGCAATGCTGATCGTTTTATTAAAGATGAAAGAATTTAGACAGTTTTTAACTCTAAGTGATGCTGCAGTGTTGTTTGACCTGAAACATACGGAGTTTAGGACCCAGATTACTCCCAGATTTAAGAGCATCTTAGTCCGACAAATATGACAATAACAACGGCCGCTTGCATGTTCTGCAAAAAAATGTGCTTTGTTGTGTATCTGACGGACAAACACCAAACCAGTTCCACATCACGGAAGTTGCACCATTTTTACAAACCAATTCTGGTTCATCTGTTTCACTCAACAATCGGCCATGTGCGTATGAAAACAAAGGCACTGTGCATGCGCGTTTTACTCCCATTCTATCGCGATATTTCATTTTCCTATCGTTGCCTAACATTATACCGGTATTACCGTGAATGGTATAATATGGCCCAGCCCTACTTCCACCTTTCTGTTAATCTTTGAACACAGAGCGCAAAGCAGGGTTTACACTGGCATGGTAGAAGAAAATCACCATGTGGTGCTGCGTTTGAGGAACAGCTTGAAATGCACTTTCTTGGGAATCTCACGACTAATATTAACTTGAAATCTGTCAGTCAGTCACGTTTAAACAGTTTTAATTCCCGTTTGAGGGGCAATTGTGCAGTTTTTATGTCCCGGCGCTCACTAAAACTAAAATTTATTCAAGTTAGGGCTGCTCAATTAATCGAATTTTAATCACGATTACGATCTGGGCTTTCAACGATCATTAAAAATGACTGAGCCGATTATTAGCCCCTCCCTCGTGCTTTACTCTGGCGCTGCTCCGTGTGGCAAATCGAGCGCACCTCTCTGCATTTCGAACACGCGTCACAACAATTAAGAGGACCCAAGGGAAGCTCGGAAAGCTATGCAGAAGTTATTTGGAGAGGAGAGTGACTGCCATTGGTTGAAAAGAGAGGTAAAAAAAACTTCAGTGGGTTCTGGGTTCGCGGAGTCGAGACGTGGGTCAAGTAGACATAGTGTGTAAACTTTGCTACAGTGTCGTAGCTGCACCACAGAGCAACACTGCAAAGTTCACTAAACATAGATGTTTACATTTTTCATTTATTTTTTATATTGCAAACATTTGCACTGTAATCAGTATTTGCACACTATTTTATATTATTTTTTAAAGTCATTATTCAATACATTGTTATTGTTAACCCTTTAAATCCCTGTAGAACCGGAGCTGCGTAAGCTAGCGCAATAATTTGTTTTGCATATGAAATCGGAGGAGTTGTACTTACATCTTATGCCATCAGCTTGTCCTCGGTCACGGTTTGCTTCCACATAAAGCTTTGCAAAAACTGCATGAAAAGCGCTTGCAGGAACAAAAACATAATATTCCAGAAACACGCTTTGCCGATCTGATCAGCTGTTCGTAACACTTCCCACATTGAAAAAGACGTCAACGCGAACTATCGCATGTCCGCCATTTCTTGTCCGAAACCGGAAGTGACGTCATTTTTCGCGGAAAATTTAGTTTTTTACTTGTAGGCCTTAAAAGCCTATACTGGTGTTTTTATAAGTCATGTTTGACTTGTTTCTGGAATGCTTAGAACTCGAATTGCACTGCTGGAAATAGTTTATTTTGATGCACCTGCTGATTTCTTTGCAAATTTGCATCATAGGATTGTTTTTTGTTTTTCCTGCAGTATATAAAAATTGCTGTATCTCCAAAATAAAACTATGAAGACACTCAAAATAAATTTCCTGTGGTGGGAAACTATTTTTTGCAACTTTTTTGTATTTAAAGTTTTGAGGGATAAACCTCTTAAATTTCCCCAAGTAGAAATATATGTAAAAAACAAAACAAAAACGATTTTCAATTTTTTTGTAGTTTATTGCACTTTTTTGCAATTAATGTAGTTACTCTGGACTTAATGCATACATATTATTAAAATATGGGCTATGACAGTTGTATTGATATATAGCAACTTGAAATGCTCCCAAAAATGGCACTACAGCATGTAAAAAAAAAAAAAAAAAAAAAAAGCTCTGGAGGACTTGGTTCTATGGTAGGTCTTAAAGGGTTAAATGAATATCGTCAAATAATCGAGATCTTAATTTCAGTGAAAATAATCGTGATTATCATTTTTGCCATAATCGAGCAGCCCTAATTCAAGTTTGAAAATTGCTGCCCAAATGAGTCTTAGGAACTATTTTAAGGTGGCTGGAGCACAAAAAAGGAGGTTTCTATCGGGGCTTTGTGATTCACACTTATCTTGTCTCCCTTACAGAGATTCAGTAAGCAACATGACGGATACACGCGGCTGCTGCATGAACTTAGAACCGAGGTACAAGGTGCAAAGCTGGCATGACCTACTTCAGCGTGAGTTGTCCCTGAAGGCTGCATGTGTCGTTAAACGGCCCAGGTGTCTTCAGTGCAACACTCTAAAGTCTTTAAAACGCAAGCCGCGTATATGAGCATTTGTGAAACACTTAATATGTCAGTGACGTTTTGAAATGACGGCTGGTAAACACCAGCTAGTGTCGCATCTTACTCAGTGCTAACGCCAGGTAAGTAAAGCACTGGACAGGTGCTATTACCAGTTTAACACAGTTTAATAGACTAAACAGTAAGAAGTACTGACGGCGCGGGGTAGCATTTACTTTTCACTACTTTATTTCTGTGGTCACACGTACCTTCCTCTGCTGGTTGCTAGCTCCCAGCTAGCAGGTCTGCATTAGCGTCGATTCTCTTTAGGCTCCTTCTAACTCACACGGCAGCGCTGAGCAAAACATTAGGACGGAGTTTGATTTTGTCCCATTTCTCTCCTCTCTCGCCCCACAACGTGTACTGTCCACAACAATTCACCATTTCCGTTTACACACGTTCTAAGTGTTTTTTTCTTCAACAACGTCATCGCGCAAGAATACGTATGCGACTACCCTGTAACTCTACGGTGATTGGCTGTTTCGCTATCAAGCAACCGATGACGCTATAGATCCTAGGCCACCGATAGGTGGACGCAGCCAGGCGGTGCCAAATAATGGTAGTCTGCCAAAAAAAGATGATTGCCTGTATTTAAACCGTTGTAAATGACTTGTTGGCCTATAAGCTCCCAAACATATCTGTCATTAATTATATTAAGTAATTTTCAGCCCAAAAAATCACACTAGTTACAAGGTAGAAGATGCAACCAGTTTTTTGCAAAAGCGACGCTACATCCTTTATTTATACAGGTAAAAAGTGCAATTGACCTTAAAAATCCACCTCAGGAAGAGGGAGAGTCAAGAGGGCAGTTATTAGACAACTATAAAATAACAGTTGTTTAAACATATTTTTAATTTACGTTATTTACGGATTCATATTAATTACTTGATTTTGATGTATCGTCGATTTTAATCTGGGCAGCGTTTTTCTTTACATTATTCTATACATACAGCAGTCGAACAAAGCACCGAGTCCAAATAACACAGAGAAACACATAGACCAATCAGGTAAATTGTAACACATCTTAGGAGATGCAGAAGTCCGAAGTAGCAAAGTCAAGGAAACAGAAGGGAGGAGTTGAAGCTCATAGTTTACATGGGACATGTAGTAAAGGAAGAAGAAAAGGGTAGATTGCATTATTTTATTTTTACGCTACACCTTATTTCATTGTGGAAATTAATAATACACATTGGTGAACTAATGTGAGTTTGGCACTGATAGAAATTTTAGGCTACTTTGTTTTACAAGAAAAATGTTCGCCGCCCCCCCCACTACTAACTCTTTTACTCTACGTCCACACTTAAACGGGTATTTTTGAAAACGCCGCTGTTCGAACCTTTCGTCCACACGTAAACGGCATTTCGAATCACCGAAAACTGAGATTTTTTTTTTTAAACGCCGTTTTTAGCGTTTACGTGTGGACCGGGAATACAGAGTTCGTCATGCAACTCAAAGGTATGTGCCTTTTTTCACGTCACGCTGTGCGTCACGTTATTGTTTGCATGAGATGAATTGCAGAATGGCAGATAGAGACAAAATACTGTTAATCTGACTATCTACAGTTTTACACTCTATACACACGCAGTTACTGTCCCCCAATTTAGAAAGGCAGAGGCGTCACAGTGTAATTATTTTATGTGTAGTTGTTTTTTTCCTGTGTAATAATATTCAACATTGATATCAATACATTTCTCAAAAAAATGCCTCTGTGTGCAAAATGGATTCAAAAACAACTGTGGGATACTGTTAGTCCGTAATTTCGAGAGCACAGAGCATGCTCCCGACGAAAGGGAAACTAATTCTGTCGCAGAGACCTACCTGGCACTTGTGCAGGTGAAGCCAAAGGGAAGATAAGCTTCAGCATATTTACTAGCATTTGGCTTGGAAGGAAGTTGGTTTGGAAACATATTTGGCGATGCTTCATCTCCAGCTTTGCGTTTGTGTGGGAGCCCCGTCAAAAACCTGTCAATGATGCTAGCAGTGTCCAAGGGTTCTTTTTTTTCTCTTTCTTTTCGATCATCTTATATATATTCTCTTAATATGATGTCATCTAATCTATTTCTGGTTTTATCAAACAGCCACTGTGCCTTTAGAAGCAGTGACAAACCAGCAGGTGATATAAAACACATTATTTTATATACAGTCTGTGAAACGTGATGGTTCTGCTTCCTTATCCGTTCTGCCCACATTTAGCCTGTGAAGGTTCCTCAATCAATCAGGAAGGAATTTTGGAGGCTGTCTTTGTGCTCTTTTCCTTGTTGTCTTGTGTCTAACATGGGTACCTAAAAACAAAAAAAGTGATAATTAAACATGAACAATATCCAGCTCTCCATGTGGGTCTGAGTCTGGTTTAATCTCTTGATCCTATGCCCTTCTCTCTCTATCCTCTTCATTTTCTGCCTGCTCTCAGTTGTCTGAGTTCAGTAAAGGCTTAACACATAACAAAGCAAAAATCTGTAGGCCCAATAACATCACTGCAGCAGTGCAGCTTGTTATAATGACCTTGAATTCAGGGACTGTGCAGTCCTCCTGGTGAATGGATGCTGGGTATTTAACCTCTTGATTGCATAATGTGCTGAAATTGTTGTGCACAAACAAGAAGACAAAACATTTTAATCCTCATATATGCAAATATAAATTCCAACATTACACATTATTCAACATTTTGTGGCTTTTCTTCACTTATGCAGTGAATTATCGTTTATTCTGTAAAATAAAACACAGTCAACTTGACAGCACATTTACAGTGCTGTGCCAAAATGTTGGCTCACTTGTAATTTCTGAAGCTCACCAAAGCCTCATCAGAAATTGCACAGTAGAAATTAGTTACTGCTAGTTACAATAAATCAAGCATGCGTCTGCGTAGATACTATAAAATCGTAGACTGTATATAAAAATGGACACCTTTTTTGTGAACCCTCAAAATAAATGTTTTGCCATCACCATCTTGGTGTGTGTTGAAATCAGATGTGGTTATTTAGGGGCCGACCTAACTGAGGCATTACATCCTAGTAACCTAATGTTGTTGATCACATGATAAAGCTTAGTCCCCGTTGTCCTTTTTTGACTTTAAAACAGACTTTGATTGACAAAATCATGTTGTATTTTAAAAGAAACGACCATATGGGGAAAGTGTACTGAGAGCAAAGGGAGCTAAAGGCTTGTCTTATCCAGTCGTTAAGTCTGACGTCACTAGCCGTGTCTGCGCCTAAACTCCGCTGCAGGTCCATATATCAAACGATCACTATGGCATTACTGAGAGTTGAAAAACTGTCTAAAGTCTTTCATCTTTAATAAAATGATCAGCGTTCTGCTCTACCAGGTGTAACAATTGAGTTTAACATCCAGGCATCCATGAAAACGGAATTTATGACATTTAACGGAGTTAGAAGTTAGCAGGAAGTTAGCTCGCTAGCTTCTATCTAAATATAATATAGCATGTCCTGACTGCAGGGTTTTGGAAACAAATTAAAACGTACAGCTCTGTTATCACTTCCAACATAAATGAAGACAGAAAAGTAAACAGCAGTGACGTTTGTAGGGTTACTGAAGTTGGGCTAGCTGGTATATAATGATGTGCTACGTGACCGCTAGCAACACAGTAGTGATGGTAAATTTGATTCTTTTTACTGAATCTAGTGTTAATGAGTCACTCACCAAAGTGAATCGGGTGTTTTGAGTCATTTGATTCACTGAGTCAGTTGACCACAGAGTGCAAAAATTTTACATTTTCACTCAAACTTAATTTGTTTCCCTTTTCATGTAAATCCCACTGCTAACATGAATGATTAAAAAAAACAACTATTTTATAGAGAACAAAGAGCAAAAACATTTCTAAAATTAAGCAATTTCTTATCAAAATTGCTTAATAAACATTTATTTTGTTTATTTGTACTTTATTAGTATTTTCCTTAAGTGTGTCAAATATATATTTTCTCATCTAAATGTCCACTGCGCTGTGAGCCAGGGGGCGGTAATGCGCCTTAACATTGGTTGCCAACCAAGAAGAAGAAGAAGCTGTGAGCCAGGAGGGAGGGGGTTGTCACTACCCGATCCGTACCGGAAACCCGATCGGTACCCCGCATGCGCGAAAGGTGTCTACTTCCGGTCGAAGCATTTTACGATAGTTACAGGTCAGAGTATCTGTTAAGATGTTAAGAATAACAAGTATCTCTTAACATGTTTCCGATAATGAAACATTTAATATAATGTAGACAAAAATAAAAAAATTAAAAGATAGTGACAGATCGAGACTCCCGATCCTTACTGCGCATGTGCAAAGTCAGACCGTACAAATCGGGTCTACCCGATCCGTACCGCGCATGTGCAGGGGTTTTCTTCTTCTTGTGTTCGTTTAATGGCAGTGTACTCCCCAGTGTACGAGGATACCGCCACCTGCTGACTGAGCGAATGAACCCTATTGTAAACTGAATTAGCGTCATTACAAATGTGTGTTAAATTTGATTTAGTGATAATCGAGTGTGTTTATGCTTGTCTGTGTGGAGAGGATTGTTGGAAAAGTGATGATAATGTCCGCTATCACTGTCAATTGCCGGTAAACACTTCATCTGGCTGCTGAATCTTCACGTGACATATTATAAAGTCTGTATTATTAACTCTGTCATTAGGCACCATTCTTCTTATTTTACGGCGCTGTTGTTCAATTGGGGAACGCTTTCTGTTGAGGAGAAAAGCAAAAATTTGTTGCGGATACGGATTATTCATTGTTTAAATGTCCTGGTAGTCGAAAAGGAGGCAGAGCTGCAGAGAAATGCTAGGAGCTAACTGGGCGCTAACCATATCATTCAAATATATTGAATGTCGCAATGTTGGCAAAGAGAGGAAGTGACGTAAGATTTGCGCATGCGGGGTACCGATCGGGTTTCCGGTACGGATCGGGTAGTGACAGGGTGAGTGAGTGATTCGTTTGCTCGCTCTATGATTCAACACAGGAGGGAGGGGGTTAGTGAGTCCTGAGTGATTCGTTCGCTCTTTGATTCAGCACAGGAGGGAGGGGGTTAGCGAGTCCTGAGTGATTCGCTTATGCTTACGATTCAGCACAGGAAGGGAGGGGGTGAGTAGCTCAAATGTGCTGTTAGCATGTTAGCAGCGCGATGCTACTGTGAACCGAGGAGATATTTTCTTGATGTGAGCTTCTACTCAGGGGTTTTTCTTCCAGTTCAGAGCAGAAATGCTTTTGTTACGAAACTGGCTGTTGTTTTTCCCTCCACAATTTTAATTATAAGCTAGATATATTTCTCCTAATGGAATTAGTTTGCTAACAGCAACAGGGATGAGTCAGTGAGTCAGTTGGGCTTGTGAATCATGATTCACGAGTCAGTAAAGTGATTCTCGATTATTGAACGATTCGTTCACGAATCGAACATCACTAGTGAGTAGCTCAAATGTGGTGTTAGCATGTTAGCAGCGCGATGCTACTGTGAACCGAGGAGCTATTTTCTTGATGTGAGCTTCTACTCAGGGGTTTTTCTTCCAGTTCAGAGCAGAAATGCTTTTGTTACGAAACTGGCTGTTGTTTCCCCCCCCACAATTTTAATTATAAGCTAGATATATTTCTACTAATGGAATTAGTTTGCTAACAGCAACAGGGGTGAGTCAGTTGGGCTTGTGAATCATGATTCACGAGTCAGTAAAGTGATTCTCGAGTATTGAACGATTCGTTCACGAATCGAACATCACTACGACACAGCTATGTTAGCATAATATAAACAAGCTAACTTTTTTTCCACTCGATAAAAGTTAATGTGAGTGTTCTCGGTGGTCAGGAACAAATGTAATCGCAAGGCAGGATGCTGTAAAAGGACCAAACTTCAGCCAGGAGGACAACTGAGATAATCCATCCACAATACGAGGTTAGTCGTTCATAAACTGCTGCATGGGCTGGGCTGTAGCTACATCCTAAGGTTTTAAAAACTGAGCTTAAATAAATGATTAGCGGTAATAAAAGCCGAGGGAGGTCAACAGTGATCACTGACTGTTTTAGGAGCTTTTTGAGATTAAATAGAAGAAAATACATAACATTAAAAATTTTAACAACACAAAAGCCATATTAAACGCAGACTACTTTAGACCCGGAAGTAGGATTCGCCACGCCATCACTTAACGACCGGATAGACTTTTTTACAATCTTAACTAGTTTTTATATCCACAGTATTTGGCCCCCTGCCGGTCATGAAAAAGAATGGCAGTTTAAGGAGCTTCCACAAAGGCTTGTCTTTTCAGAACTGTAAGCTGCATCTGTCTTGCAAGGCCCAGGAAATGAACCTTGTAGACCTCCAGAGTTTTCCTCTGTGATTTATGAGCCTTAAGTAAATTAACATGTTGTACTTCTCCTCTCTAATTTATCTAGTATAAGAATTAATGACTGCAACAATTTCTAGAAGTTCTTATCAGTTGTTATATTGATGCTAATAGGGGCTAAATTTGCAAGTAGTCACTAGCATTGCTAGCTAAAGAAGCTGTAGAAACAGCTGACTCTTTGTATTAAAGTAATAATTAATTAATAAATAGCCCAAGTGAATTTTCATAGTTAAATCTGCACTTATCCTTACTTGTGTGCTTCTTTACTTACTTAATAAAGAAACACACAAAAATATACACAGAGACACACACGCAATATTCTCAAAATGTTAAAAGTCTTTATATAATATTTAAGTCGGTAAAAGGGACAGATGGAGCGATGCCTAGGAAACCAGAGGGAGGGTGGACAGAGAGAGAAACACCATGACAAACATCAGACGAGTTCAGTGAGAGAGAGAAAGCGTTTGGCGATTGGAGAGGATTAGAGGATTATTATCGCAGCTGACTGCACTGGAAGGCTCCATCAGCATCATCGTTGTCCTGTCTTTGGTTCTCTCGCTCCTTCCTTCCTCTGCCTGTTGTCTCAGCATCATCCATCAAAGCCGAGGGCATGTACAAGTTGAGGAGCTAGCATGGATATATTTTGGCTCTTCAGCAGCAGAAGGGGTGAGTCAGGTATCCATTGTCAAAATAACTGATAAAAAATATCCCACTTGTTAAACTTTAACTTTATTGATCCTCTTTGTTTGCTGTCTTTATTTTCTTATTTTTTACCATGGAAAATGTTTTATTTTGGAGATTGTTTTTCCAGAAAACTACATGCTAACAAATAAAAAAAAAAATTGATACAGTAAAAAAATAGCAGTTTCATCAGACTGGCTGAATTCATTCATGATCTGATTATGCAGCTATATCTGGATGAGGCATGGAGAGACGAGATAAAGACGTATCCCTGTAGTCCTACAGCCTGTTAGGTAAAACTGTCCTTTGGAGATTTACAGAAAAAAAATGAAGAAAGTCATGTTTATCATGTCGTAGCTTTTCAGAACTTTTATGCTCATTGTTTTAATTTCTAAGCATACAAATTCAACTGTCATAAACTGTGCCTTCATTTGCAGGAGGCAGAATTGATATAATAAACTGTACAGTATACTGATGAGTACAGTGGAACAATTAACAGCTAATGATCCAAACATTTCTGTCAGGACAAGTAGGAACCCAAACAAACAAAAAACCAGATAAAACTTGTAAGTTTTTGTGTGCAACTTTACATTTTCTTCTCTTTTTTAAATTCACTCTGTTACAGTTCTCTTTTTTCTCGCCTCTATTCTTAAAGGTGTTTTATAAATATAGCTTACTACTTCCACAAAAGCCATAATTTCTTTGGTACTGTTTCCATGTGTGCATGTTATTCTGTCTTTAATAAAACCTGCGGATAGGGTGAAAGTGAACTCAGTGATTTATTGGCTGGAAAATTGGCAAAAAGCCTTAGAAACTATGATTCTTACAAGTTTGGTGTGAATTATCAACATATATAATATGTTATCGATATATAGTAAGTACTGTATAAAAATTTGAACTATCATGTCACATTTGACCTTTAAACTCCCCTTCAAGGTCAACAGACTGATCCTAACGCCAAAGCGATAATAATGATAATATAGAGCTTCTAAAACGATGTTTCCTACTGCCACTATATGAATTGACCACATACAGGCATATAGGGATACACAGGGATTCTCAATATCACATTATGGTTTGCGTCCATAACCTCTGACCCCACTTTGACATGTCACATCTGCCTTTTTTCCAAGTTGACCCCAAAATGTGTCACATGTTTAAAGAAAGCATTATCAGGTTATCAGTTACAAATGTACTAACTAGGCACTCTCAAGTTATTCATGTCCAGTTATTTACAAATCAGCACATATTATCTATTGATCCTACATAATGCTTATATATATAAAAAAACAATACAATTCCCTTAAAAGTAAATGCTGTCCAGACAGTGAGCTACCTTGGTGGAGGTTTGTGCTCTCGGAGTGCTTCTCCACGGCAGCCTGAGCTGATTACAGCATGAATAAGGGAGAACTGGATCAGGGGGGTTGTTTCATGAAGCTCACAGATATCTGTAAGCTTTATCAGTTAAAGAAAATGATTTTAAATTCATTTCTGGATTTAACAGCGAGCCAGTGAAGACTACACTATTATTAGTACTGAGTATAGTATTATATTCTGATATAGAAAATATATTCTGTTTCTTTCTATTGCCAGTTACTTTGGCTGCTTTGACATGGACTGCGAGGTTTGGGAAAAAGAACAGCAGAATTAAACTCCCGCCCTTCAGTGAGCTTTCTGCTTCTTAAAATCTCCTGACCCTCCTTCAGCTGTCCTGGGAAATATGAATCTTCTTTCCACAACACATCTCTTCTTCCTTCTTGCCATTTACTCCCCGCAGTCCCTTCTCCCATGTGTTCAGTGCTCAAAGTTGTGTCCACACAAGTGCATTTGTTATGAGCATGCTGACCTGGTGGACTGCCGCGACCGTGGGTTTGAGCACGTTCCCAGGGGTCTCCCGCACGGCACGTGGCTGCTGGAGCTAGGAAGAAACAATCTGAGTGTGATAGGCACTCAAGCCTTCAAAGGACTGTGGTCCTTACGGGTGCTGGTGCTCACCAACAGCCAGATAGAGGAAATCCAACCACAGGTAAGAACAAAGTGGTGGAAAAACTATTTATGCATCTGAAAATGTTGCACAATTACAGTTGTAAGGATAATACGAAGACGTATTTTAGAGATTTAATATGTAACTAAAGCAAATTATCACAAGCATGGAAAACACTCCAGGGTTGGGTTGGCTGCTCTCCGGTTACTCTGGCTTCCTCCCAACGGCCAAAGGCAAGTAAGTTAGCTTAACTGGAGATCCCAAATTGGCATTAGGTGTGAATGTGAGTGTGGGTGGTTGTCTGTGTCTAAGTGAAAGCTCTGAAACAGGCTGGTGCTGGTCCAGGATGTACGCTGCCTCTTTGCCTGTGACTGACTATCTGTCTGCAGCTCACAGATAGATAGAAAATAAATTGCAACTTTGTATTTGTATAGAAATCGACTTGTATATATAAAAAATAATACTTTATATTTAAAAAACACATTTACAGAAAATAACAGAAATGAGAGACATGGACTGCAAGGAAATGTGTTTACCACTACATCACTGCCAGTCACTGATATGTCATATAAAAACTGAATCTGTCACGGTCGCGCTGGCAGACCGTGGGGATGTGGGGAAATTAGAACCCAAAGGCAGGGCTCTTCGATGCAAAGCAGTGTGTTTATTTACAGTGAAGTAAACTGACACAGTGCATTCCCGACTCCGTGCTGTGTCCTCTTCCCAGAGTAGTGCCCAGTGTGTCTGCGCTCGGCAGTGTTCGAGCACCCCGTGCTCACTGCCCTCTCGACTCCACACACCACCTGAGAAATAACAAAAAGGCAGCTGTCAGAACACACCACAATTGCGGCAGACTAACCTTCTCTAACTGACAAAGAGACTAACGTGAAGTCACTCAATGATCCAGCGTTGAGAAGCACTCAGCCACACTGCTATGTAGCTCCCCTAACGATCCTTATCAGCTGCAGGTGTGTGTGTTACTCCTCCTCGGGTGTGGCCAGCCTCCCAACAGGACACACCCACTAGGCCTGGTGGTCCAGGAAAACCAGGACATCACACACACGCACACACATACACAATACAAAGGGAAACCAGGGGCACAAGCACCACACAAAATCATGGTACACACAGCAACAAATAAACAAGTTCAAAACTGCTCATGGACCCTCAGACCCATGTCCCTGACAGTAGGAAAGTTGAAACAGCACACCTAATTGATGCTTTTTGTCTTTGAATAGGCATTTTTCTCATTGTCCTTTCTGGAGAAACTGGATCTCAGTTGGAACAAATTAAAAACTCTCCCTGTGGACTTCTCATCCAGTCTGCCTGCTCTCAAAGAACTGCGACTGGAGCACAACATCTTGCATTATCTATCTGGATACAGGTACATGGCTATCTGTGGGTCATCAGAGTGCCGTGAAACTCCATCTCACTTTTCCATCAGCTTCCATATTTCTGTTTATCGTCTGGCTTAACAGGAATATGTTTAAAGTGATCCAAAAGACCAGGAGCTGTCTTAATAATAATAATGGACTGGATTTATATAGCGAATACAGTTACAGACAGTAGCATTCAGCACAGAGCTTCTCTCTGCCTGTCTCTCACAGTATCTTCTCACTGTCTCACGCTCTCGTTGTCTCTCTGCTGCCAGCCTGGAGTTTCTGGACAACATGGAAAAGCTGGACCTGAGTTATAACAAACTGGTGTCTGTTGGCCCCGGCGTGTTCAGAGGCCTCTCCCGGCTCAGACAACTCTATCTACACAACAACAAACTGACTGTGGTGCAGCATGGGAGCCTGGACATGCTGCCTGGACTGGAGGTGAACAGACTTTTTTTTAAATGGGTAAATAAACTGGTACCTCAAAGTTTTTTTTTGATTGTGGACTGTTGTAGATTTAGCCTCTAAAAAGTATAATAATGTAAATGAATCTTATTTCATGTCTTAATTCATCTGCACGTAAGACAGCTAGTGTTTTGGTACACTGAATAATGATAAGTTTGAAATTTATCATTAGTTATAAAGTATAAAGTACTATGATATCTCTACCTATTAATGCACACTTTAATGTGCTGCTTTGGAAGAATTGTCTAATTATTGTAAGAAGAAGTGGCTCAAAAACAGATCCCTGTGGCACACCATTTTCGATGACTTCATTATTCTGTATGTCTGCCTTTCTAATTAGTACCTGTTTGTCTGTCTTCCTAGGTACTCCAGCTGAGCAACAACAACATCTCTCAGATAGATACTGATGCCCTGGCACCTCTGTACAGCCTGGCTGTTCTTGATCTGGAGGGAAACAACCTGCATAACCTCAAATTTAAGACCTTCATCAGCCTTCATACAACAGCAACACACATACAGCTGTCAGGTCTGCAGAAATACTTTAATTCTATTTCATTCATTGTTCTCCATGTCAGAAACTGACGGAACAGACTGAAATATGTTTAAAACGTTTGGACTGATTATCATGCAATATAAAATAGATGATGTTGATCAACACCCCCTCTTCTACAATCAAGTTCTGACTCAACACTCTGACACACAATTTTAAGGTTTGCATTCTTTGTTTAATTGAACTCTGTATACCTGCCTTCCTTCTTTCCCTGCCAGGGAACCCTTGGAGCTGTGACTGTGAGCTGCATCGTGTTTTCAGTAAGATCCTACACGTCCGGCACCTCCACATTGACGACTACCGCAACGTGACATGCCAGGACCCTCCGCAGCTGATGGGGGCTTCGTTGGCCTGGGTAGACAGCCAACTCTGCGTGGCTGAGACCGCTACTGTACTCGTCATCACTGTCACTATGCTTGTCACCGTGGTGGCCGCTCTGGTGATGGCGGAAAGGAACAGGAAGAGGAACCGAGGGAAGAACTGGGACACCGAGTCACAGACGCAAACTCACAGCCCTCCATCCTGAGGCAAAATTAGTGAGAGGATAAGCAGATGTTTCTGGCTCCTCTGGTTACAAAAATGCTTTTAGCACACACTTCCTGACTGCTGCCACAAATGGATCGTACTTGATTTCTTTTTCCTTTCAAAAAGTGAAAAACAGAGTTGGAATTAAAACTGAAGAAGACCTGGAGTATCTGTTCAAATTTAATATTGCAGCTGTGATCTGCTGCTACCAGTGAACTGCTGTAAAAATGTGGTTCTTTCGATGAATTTTTAAGAACAACCATTGTCAGCAATGGGATTTTTCGCAATAAAAGCCATACTTTGGTAAAGACCAAAGGCCAATACACATAATGTGGAGTTTGAAGAGTAAAAAAATGTCTGACTTGTATTAACAGTTGCCGAGGTTTCATTCACCTGTAGTCTCTTGAAGTCACCAAATGTCAGATTGACTGTCTGCGGTCTCTTGTCACACATCACTGTGAATCGCTCCCTGTGTGGATACAGCTGAATGTTCACACATAATCTGACTTCTGTTGTGCTTTCTTTCTTTCCCTTTCACTGATCTCGTTTCCACCTATTTTATAATACCTACGCTAATTTGAGCTTTTCTTTAATCTCACGGGATCACCACAGCAGGCAGCTGTCGTAGATGTTTAATTTAGCAGGTTTTTACACCCTTTCTTATGCAACACCCAAGGGAAGTCTGTTCACTCACAAAACACATCTTTGCATGTCTGTAACTCATAATGTAAAATAGAAAATTGCAAATAAATTATTTAATATTTAATAGAAGGTTTCTTGAATATACTCTTTGTTCTTTGTAGTTTATCACCATAGAAGCCCCAGGAATGTCTGAACCTATTGATTGACAGTCAGACCGAGAGTCAGCAATAGAGATAGAGGGGGTCATGAGGACCATATGTGTCTGTACTCCACAGGGGATTAGTGCAGGACTGATGGAGGGAAAGAGAAGGACAAAGTCCCACAGAGGTCAAAGATGTCAAGATGATTACTGCTGATCTGCAATACAGTTATTAACTGTGAGTGTGTGTGTTGGAGGTATTAAACAGGCAGAGAAAGAGAGCCGTCTGGCCTCCAGCAGTAGACTGCCCTCCTTTCATCCATCTCTTCTTTAATTGTTGTGTTTTTCTGTCCTTTTGAAAAATCTTTTAGTAATGAAACTATTAGGACCAGTATTGGAAACTTTGTCACAGTTTCCAGCAAACAGGGTTGAAACCCAAACCTCACCTCTGATTAAAGCTGATCGTGGTACTGTGCCAAAAACAGAATGGTGGACAGATGGATGTCAGTCTTATTTCCAAGCAGAGTAGAGGTTGGGTTTGACTTGGCTTACAACTCGAGAAATACACATCAGATTATTGCAAAGAAGGATTAAAGTGTTCACCTTTGTTTTTTCTCAAAAAACAACAACTAATATGCGTAGAACTGATGGTGATCAGACGTCAGTCGTCTCCATGTACACAGACTAGTATTACTGGAGCCTGTTTTAGGAAAAGAAATGACACTGTGAAGCTATTGATGATTTAATATTTCTAAATTCTGCATTGTGTGATTATGCTCGCTCTGTCTGAGATGTCAGCATCATAAACTCAGGAATGCTGCTGCTCTTATGTGCGGTTAGTTAGTTTAACAAGATAAGAAGTGGGCCGAACACTGTTTGAAACATCAGATATCTGCTTGTTCTTTTTATTGAGAAACGTTAAAATGTTTTACATTTTGTTTATTCTCATTACCAAATAGATAATAGAAAACAGTTACTGAAAACAAATTCTTAGTGATATTGAAAATATATGTCAAACTGACACTGTGATAATGTCCCTAGTGTCGTTTCATCTTTAATTTTAGTAATATTTTCCAATATGTTTGCTAGGGTGCAGCTTTAATTTCAAAATGAGAAATTTGGGTTTAATAAGCAGCTAGCCCCACAGTTTGGTCTACTGATCCAGCACTGAGCTTATTGTTAGCCTCTGTGACTGTACAGCTCTCTACAAATATTCAGTGGACTTAGACTGATAATAATTGATAATAGTTATTAATAATATCGAGCAAGCTAAAGTGGAACCAGACCAGTTTGGAGTTAGCAGAACATGAATTTCTCCAGTTTAGGTACATGCTAACTGCTTGCACTTCAAACCAAGCGAATGTTTAGCTGCTAAGTGAGCAACAGCAATTTAGGTTTTCTGAATTATTCTTAACTGAACCGAGCCCAGGCATGTTTACTCTGTTTATTCTTTGAAACACTCAGATCATGACAAATGCACTGCAGTATTTTCCAAATTCCAAAGAAAAGAGCAGCTTTTTCACCCCACAAGATATAATTTTTCTAATTTGAATTCTTTTGAATAAGTAATGGAAGCTCTGCAGGAGCTGTCTAATGTCTGGTATATGGTGCTTTGTTTAGCTGTGTGGAGGGTTTTCAACAGTGCAGTGAATGGGGCACTATTTATAAAGTTTAGTTTCTCTTTATACAGCCATGGTTATCGACCAAACTGTCTGCTTACATACACATTATTCCAAATATCACCCCACCATCTAACCCCTGATGACAATTAAAAACACTGGTGACTGCCCGTGCTACCCCACAGCCTCCTTGTAGATGGACTCGTGTTGTTTTTCCTGCGCATTACTGCCACCTCTGATCAAGTCAAACTCCAAGAGTGTTATGTTAAAAATTGAATAAATAAAGAGTGAATATGCAGTTATTAGCCCATTTGCTGTAGACCTGTTGTTGGTAGAAAACCCTGCAAAAAAACCCAGGAGGAATAAAGACACAATGAGACAAAGTTACTTTCTTTATCAAACGTGTACACGGGTGAGCCGCTGAGAACAACTCACACCATGAACAGAGGCTTGGCATTTTTTATAGGCACAGATCACAGAGACCGTGAGAACAGGATAAGAAAATAATAAACAGATAAAATAAAACAACTCCATATATGGTGCTAGTCTAGTCAGCAGAGAGCTAGGAAAGATAAAACAATCTGAAACAATATGTCCTTGCTGGGAAAGTCTAAAAGACACTTCTAAACTAATCTAAACACAGACAGAGGGCATCTTTGTACATTTAAAGAAGGTAAAGAAGCATAGAATCATTTTTCCTCTAACACCTGTAAAATCTAGAGCAATGAACTGATGAACCGACGTCATACAGTCAACCTCTCTTTGACTTTTAGGTAACAGGTTTTAAAGCTGGAACAATAGGGATTAGAGTGAGATTCACTCCACATCTGACTGACAGAAAGGACGTGGCAGAGTGAATTTTGGGAGCTAATGATGATGTTTTATCTGCTGGATGACAGCTGCATTTAAAATGACATTCTAGGTGAACAGGATGTTCCTAATGTTCACTTCAATTCAATTTTATTTATACAGCACAAAAATCACAAGACAAGTGTCTCAAGGTGCTTTATATTGTAAGGCAGACCCGACAATAATACATAGAATATTGTAGGGTCTGCCTACATTATTGGACTGAATGAAACAAAATCAATACTTAGAGATGGTTATGAGATCGTTCTTTGTTAAGAGTTGATCAGTTTGGAACTCTCTGTGGGAGGGAGTGGAATAGGCATTGCTGTACACATAGAGTTGCAGCAGTCGAGCAAAGGCATGATAGCTGTTTCCAGGTCCCTAAAATGTTGTGTTTGGTGTGATTTTGTTAAATTTCTGCTTCCATTGTATTTTTTATGGAAACACAATGAATACACTTTGTGCTCTTCCAGCATTTTTCTATTTGCTGGTGTTTTCCTAGGGTGCAGTGTGTTTAACAGTTCATATGATATATGAAGCTTAGTCATTTCCAGCTGTGCTCCACCCTCCTAGAAGCACATGTACAGTATGTTGTTGAGGATAACAGACTAATATGTATTAAAGAAAGTGACAAGTGGCTCAATGTCAGTGTAGGAGACCTAGGTACAGACACAAACCCAAAATCAATTGTCTTCTCTGGCATGCTGCTGGCAAGTGAGGGTGTGTCCATGATAGGAGTGAAGTATAGCTCGTGCCCTTCTGGGTAGCAACAAGCTGACCGGCTCTGCAACCCGGAGCATCACTCTGTCTCTGTTAGCCATCGCTCTGCAGCTCTGCTGGATCCTCCTGGATTAATTGCAACCGTGTGTGCATTTATTCTAGTGTAATTTTCTGGAGCTTGATAGCTTTTCTTCTTTAAGAAACATTTTAATATTTAAGATTCACTTTGTTCCTTCATCCCCAAATGTGCCAATAAAATCAATCATGTTCATTTTGAATCATTAAAACATTTGAAAAGTATTTGTGCTGATTTTTGTTTTATGTGTTAAACTTACCGTCTATAGTAGCCTTTAAGCTCTTGATGTAGTGGCATGGTTTGCCCAGCAGATGGAGACACTGATATAGTGCAGATGCATCCTATGCATGGCTGTACGATGTTATTCTTTAATTAAAAGACCAGCAGGCCTGGGTGTGTTACTCTCAGGAACACTAGCACTCTCTGATTAAGGTAAACATATTTATAATTTATTAATGTACAGCTTGTTTCATTTCCCATCAGTCACAGCTGATAGATGAACACAGCACTGAAGTTGTTCCTGAGTTGTTCCTACACTAAGCCCATCAACACTCCCTCAAAACTCTAAATGTATAACCTGAGCATGTTCATAAAAAGAGTGTTGAACTGTGATAAGTTTTGTAATTTTACTATCACATCTGTTACTCTTCTGACAGATAAAACACATACACAATAATAATTATTTTATTACAAAGCACTTTGGTGGCCAGTAAGAGTAAAAATAGCACAAAGTGAATACCATCCCAGTGTCATACTTAAACTACAATCATATTTAAACTGGAAAAGCACCTCAGAGTGTGAATTCTTAAAGGACATTTTAATGTATTATTTTAATATCTTCCAGCAGATGCAGGAGGTGGCTATTGGTAAAGAATAGGCAGCGTGTTTGAGTTCAGTCTTTCTCACGCAGTCTAAAAATGAGAGCAATTATCAGGCGATAGAGGCAGATCCCAGTTTTAATGGTAAATATACTTTAACAAAGTTAGATTTGATCTCACTTTCAGATAGAGACTGCTGTTATATGAAGGATGTGACGTGTGGGGAGAATAAAATAGACTAGTTAACATATCCCCATGAAACACTCCTTCATCTGATAATGCAGACTAAGGGGAAATATGAGGTTGTTCTTTATTGAATTAAATGAGCTGTTTTTTTCCAGCCCTGGGCTGAGTTGGATTAACAAAAGAAAGTGGATGGACAGATGTTAGCTTTATGTACTAATAAGAAGTCAAGCCCCCCAAAACGATTTATTATATTATAGTTTTATTATAATCATTGTAGTTTATTGTTACCTTCTTGTTATGTAATGCTGTTGTGAGCATTAAAGGATTACGGTCAGTACTCTTAACTCTGAAGCAGAACTCTCAGCTTTAGGAGATCAAAACTCTGTTGTGATATAAACATCCTCTGATTAGGAAAAAGGAAATGAGCACTTTATTGTGTTTGATAGTTCTGATGACCTCAAACTCTAAATAAAAGGCTGCAGTAATGCGTATGCACACAGAGCAGCTGCTGTCTCCCAGCGTAGCTTCAGTTGACACAGTTAGTGTGCTTGGTGCAGCGCTGCAGAGTGGGGAGCTGGTGCACAGGTGCGTGTTAATGCTTGTGAAGGTTGCGGTGAAGCGGAAGTCTGCACCTCTGAAGCTTCTCAGCAATCTGCCGCTCACTCGTCTCACTCTGTGACCACATCCTGTGCTCTGCTGTTGCTCTCAACGCCTCCGTAAGCTGTCATGACCTGGTTTGTTCCTCACAAAACAACAGCTTCAACCTCCGTCTCTGGAGAGAGGAGAGTATTGATTTCCTGTTCCTACGAGCTGTGGTTGACTCACATTTTACACACATACTTCAATATGTATAGCCCTCCACCTACTGTGAAAAAAACACAGCTTTACTCACTGAGAATGGAAAAAGTGAATCTTGAACAGGTTTTACAGATAGGGGAACATGTCACAGTAAAAATGGCCCAATGTTTTTGAGTTGGAGTTCATAGAAAATGGAAAATATAAGGGTGAGTTCTCAGAAACCCAACAGATAACAGGCTGCTAAAAATAGCTCCCTGCTAGCCATGCAGTGTAGTGAAGGCTCAGACATAAATGAATAATACCTGAAACTGCACCTGATGAGTAACTGTATGTTGTACTGTCAGGTAGAACTGCCTCAGACTCATATATGAAAGAAATAAACAGTTGTGTGTTTAAGGAGTACTTTTATTAAGAAGCAAACTGAGCACAAAGCACTTACACAAACTAACAGAATAATAACTAATAACAGCACAGGATGTCCACTTATTTATATACTAAATGGAAGAAAGTCAAATGGAAAGCAAAGCTTTAGGATACTGTGAATGTTTTTGTTTTCACAGAAAGCAGCTCAGTCGTTCAGCTCAGCTCTCATTTCTCTGGTTTTCTTGAAAACCCCTGTGAAGACAGGAAACACGTTTTCAGTTTACAGAGTCGCTCTTTAAACAAAGGTTTAAATGTAAAGCCTCATGTCTTCAGTGAGTCTTCACTAAACAAACTGACTATAAAGAAGGCAAGCTTCACCTTCCTACTAATTTTTAATTATCAATCAAGCACAAAGAAATTCAGAAATGACGTGGATGTAAAGCAGTTTTCTTGGATACACTAAATGATAACTATAAGAAATCCTTTTCAGAGCTTCTGTGGTAATAATGAGCACTTTGTCAGAGTTTTTACATATATATTACCACCGGTGCTGAGATTACTGAGAAAATATTATTACACTAATTTTAAAAGTGATTGATTGAGATATTTAATGAAAAATACTGCTGGGGTGACTGAAATATTGTCATGGAGAATCTATAAATCTATAAACTTTAAACAACATCAACAACAAAACCCCTTCCTTGTTATTTTAAATGATACCTTTATATTCATTAGTTTTAGCTCATTAGCTTTTAAAATGTTTTCAATAGGTTTTAATTGTTGAGTGATAGTTGCTGAGAAAAAAGACATATTCAAGATAAACAGGCTAACTGATGTTTTTCTTAGCTGCTAATTTTTACGGCGGTCTAACAAATCGATCCTGCATTACATTTAGATTCAGTTTCAGACAGGTTCCTTTGGAGGAAGAAGCACGTGGTGCTGTTAAATGATTGTTTTGTATTGAGATATGTTTCATATAACGACCACTGCTCGTGGCACAAACAGGAGCTGGATCGTTTTGGACCAACCTGAAGTTTCCACACCAGGATGATCACAAAGAGTCCGTAGATGCTGCTCTTGATGATCAAAACCAGATATGACAGCTTGGCATTGTGGGTGGTCTTCAGATACTTGTCTGCACAAAATTGTAAGATTTGTATTATTTTCCCAGCTCAGTATAGAGCAGACACACTGGGTTATTGTTATTAATAATATTATTAATAATATTTACTTCTTATTGCTGCAGCTCCTGGATCTAAGAAAAAGAAAAACGATTTCTTTCAGTGAAATCAAGTCAAACTATTTCAGATGATTTTGACACATTTAAAGATTGTAAATGAACGTACTTCGAATGCCTGCGACCCAGCCTACACGAGAAACCGTCTGTTCCCCATCAAAGAAGTCGACGGTGCAGGTGAAATTCTTGCCTGGTTTGAACCACTGTGAAAATAAGACTCTCAGCCTGCTTGTGATGCGGTAGTGGGTACCATTCCAGTGGGCAGAGTGATCGGTGGCGATGCCATCTTTGACGTCCACCCCATCAATCTGCCAGGACACATTCACATGGTCCGGGTAGAAATCAGAGGCCACACACAGCAAGGTCTTCTTGTTTTTCTTGTGTTTTTCATTTTGACACTCCTTTGTTGAAGGTTTAAACACTTTCACCTTTGGTGGCTCAACTGTTCTATTTGGTGCTGTGGGACAAAGAGAATCGAATCATTAGAATGCAAACAGTCTCATTATTCCCATTTTGAATACCCAAAGATAAAAAAAGTAACACTTGTAAAAAAAACCCTGCTTCATCATTTTCTTTTGGATTTTTGGATCTTTTGGAAAAACAGCAGGTGATTACTGGGTAAAAAGAAAGTAAAATGAAATAAATAATGGCGTAAGGTGTTAATATGTGAGCTTCTGAGGCCACATCTCTTTTTTTCTTTTTTTCTTTTTTCCAAAATGCTGCTTTTGCAACATATATCTTAGATATAGAAGACATTTGAAATAAATTTCATGGCACATTGTTTTAAATCCACAGCAACATGTTTATAACTTTGTGATTCTGTCTACACCCAAATATGAAAAACGACATTCAAACTTTGCTCTTTTTACAGCCCTAAACGTACATTAGAACTTCTCAGAGGTTCTCGGCAGTGGAAGAAAAAACATGCATAAGGTTTCTTACCCAAAACTGTCAGTTTGGTGCCAGTACCAAAGTAAGCAGGGTTGTAGTTTGCCACACTGATATGCAGCGTAGTAAAAATTGTTTGTGCTATCAACAGCTGGAAACGATCTTTTTTTTCTCTTTATGAAAAATTCTAATTTCTCCAAATTTACTCTTCATAACAAAACCTAATTAGACAGATTTTAGATTTTAGACAAAGTCAGGAACCTTAAATGATGCTACAGTAACTCAACTTACTTACAGTTAGGTTTTAATTTATGGACTATTGCATGATAAAATAAATTTGTGCCTGTTAAAATGTTCTATTTTTGCACCTTACCTGAAACTGTGAGTTTAGTTCCCAAAGTGAGCCTCGGACTGGGAATACGCAGTCGCTCACAGAGCTGATCAGAACTCCATATAGCCACAGATAATCTGGGCATAGAGCCAATTCTTTTATAGCTGCAGCACTTTGCTGAAGACTAATCAGCACTGACACAAGACTAACTTTGTGCTTTAATAGCTTTCACTTTTTAAAAACAGCTTGAATATGTTTATGGCTGATTAATAAAACCACCCAAAAAGTGAAGCACACTTATCACACATTATTTCTATCATATTAAGACGTGCAGTTTGAGTCTTCGCTGCAGATTATCTTACCTAAGACGGTCAGTTTAGTTCCAGCGCCGAAATAAGCCTCGCTGAATGAACACAGAGCTCTCAGACTGTTACAAAAACCTCTTCCTTGTCTCTTGGGGCTCCTCTTTGCAATTTATCAAGCTTTGTCATAGTTTCAGACATTGAGCGTTTCATAGAGATCGACAGTAGTCGACAGCTAGAGTCTGCTAAGGATCGCCCTTGAAACGGCAGCAACAGGACACATTTTTATATAGATATATATATATCTATATAAATATAGTGAGTTTTATGGCTATTATTGCATCGCTCATTACCTGAAGGTGTCATTCAGGCTTTTGGGTATTTTGCCATCAGATGAAAAACAACCATTAAATGATATTCTGATTTATATTCTAGTTCTTTCACTTTATTTCTTAACTGAAACAGTCAACCTGGTGCCTCCATCGAAAAAAGCCTCAAAAACAAAACCACCAGCACAGTAAACTGAACTTTACTCCAATCACCTTAAACATGCCGGATTTGCTTTCTTTTGTACACACAGGCTAATATCCAAATACTTTCCAACATCTACACATTTGTAACGCTTCCAAAGGGACGAGCGGACGTTTTACTCACCGAGAACGGTCAGTTTTCTGCCTGCACCAAAATAGGCTTTGTAAGTAGCACTGTGGACCAGCTTAATATCAAATAGCACGGAGCTGGACCAGTAATAAACAGGACCACATTTTTGTAGGTCACTGCTTCAGCCATAGTCTAAACATTGCAAAGGTGTTTTTTTTCTCAATGAACAGAAAGTGTGAGGGCCCCAACTTACCGAGAACAGTTAGTCTAGTTCCACTTCCAAAGCAGGCTTCAGCTCCAGTGTCACATTGAACGCATCCTTTGTGAAAAAGTAACCAAACAGTCCAGAGCAGGCACTTGAAATGAGACTAAATTCCCACTAAACACTTGGAATTTTAGCAAAGGACATGTTAATCCCACCAACTGAGTTTTAGTTAAAAAAAAAGATGAGTGAAATAAACTCAGAAGCTGCACTGTGTTTAAAATTTTATTGAATTCTAAACAAATTCCCTCACTAATCATATTTCTGTGCAGTAAGAGCAGGGCTACCTGCACTTTTTAAAATACTGCTCATTTTATGCTTGTCAGATGTTGAAAATAATCTGCAGAGCTCCTCGCTGTGCATTTTAAATGCAGGAGGTTTTTGTACGGCGGCTCTATTGGTTTGTATCACCGTGCCCCCCCTGTCCCCACAGTGAAAAAGCACTAGACAAAAACCTGACTTCACTTTGCTGCTGTCTTTCCTCCCCCCACCCAGCATCTCCATATCTCAGCCTCCATCTTTCTCTGTTGGTGGATGAGAGCAGCTGTGCAGGCTGCCTGGAGGCCTGAGGTGAGCATGAATGCTGCTATTTCTGTGACTGCTAAGAAAAGACGCACAAAGAAAACGAAGCCTGTGTTTCTATATACAGTAGCTGCACGGTGACGTCTTCTCTGGTCACACCTCTTTATTTCCGCCCAGTCAGTATAAAACTGGAGGAAATCAGCAGTTCCACATCATCATTGTGATAATGTTTCCCAAATTACAGTGATTAAACCTATGGTTTGACACCCCTACAAGGCTTTTAGATGAATAAAAAGGAAAGCGAGTATATGATCAAACTTATCAGATATGAAGGGAAACCCTTTCAAAGTCAATCGCAGTCAAGACAACATTTTGTTTGCTTTCTTTTCAGATTGTTCATCCTGACAGAATTACACACACTGCTGTGGAGGCTCAAATTATTCACTTTACTGTTTTCTAACCACAACTAAACTTTTAGATGGAAAATAAAAACATATCAAACACATTAATACTGATGTTACTACTAGTGCCACAATCCTAAAAGGAAAAAAAGGGGGAAAAAAAGGTCTTATGTGATTTTGTAATCAAAAAATATAAACGTAAACGCGACATGAGAAATAAAGTTGTGGGACAACTGATAAAACATTTGTTGTTCTTTCTTAAAGAATTTTAACAGTGATGCAGTTGGACCTCAGATCATGCTTAAGCACAAAGTTAAATCAGTCTGGTATAACTTTAGACATAAATATAATCTGAGATCGGCTCATTGAAGGGTCATCATCAGCATGATTTTTCAGACATATGTAACCCCAACTTCAGCCAGCAGAGGTCAGGCTGTGATCAACTTGTTCTTAAACAAAACAACTGTGTGCTCAGACAGCAAACACTTAAAGAATAAGAGAAAAAGAAACGCAGAATAGCAAAATGCAAGATATGTGGATGCTGAGAAGCTACACTGTACGGGACACTGCTCCCTCTGTTATAGCACCTGTGTACTTATCTAACTGATCAGCTTTGTGGTACTGCAGACACGTCAGCGAACTGAAACAGATACGTTTTTATGACTTCATGGATCAGCGACTGCTCCTCTGCTGCTGATCAAGTTTTGCTTCAGCTAAATTTTTCTAGAAAAAGCTCTATGTGGTAAAACCAGAGAACATAGTCCAAGCAGCTTGTACTTTTGGATTACCCCACCATGTCAGAAATCTAAAAACCGCAGAGCAAACTAAAGCTGATAAACAGATAGCTTGTGACCTTCGATTTGGAAGGCAGCGTGTGGCAACTAGAATATCAATCATGCTCAAAGAGAGACGAGAAGGATCAGAGATTATTTTCACACTTTAGTAATTTTTGATAAACTGGAAATGTAAGTGAAAATATTAGCTAATGTCCCATTTCAGCGTTTTTAATCACGTATTGGTTTATTCATATTGTGAAATGTCTGTCTGTACTGTGCTGAGGTTTGCAGTCAATTACTATGTTGGACTGCAGCAGAGCAGGCTAAGGCTACCTTAGCCCCACCTAACATCAGTTTAAATGCTGATTTGATTCATTCACTAAATAAGACCTTTGCACTAGTTCTATAGTGTCAAGAGGTGAAAGGTTAGGCATGATGGCTCGGGATGTCTAAATCCAAGACGTAGTTTGGTATCAGCAGAGAAAGCCGGCTGATCTCTATGCAAAGAAAAATCTACCACAGAAGAATGAATTGTGACTGAGGGTTCCCCCTTGCTAATTTCCACTTTAACCCATAATTGTCTTAATGTACACAATTGCACGTATAGTATAAAGTACTTATTTTATCATAGTATACACAAGCAGGAAGATCATTTCAAAATTGGAGAATTACTGTGAGGTGTAACAGGTATAATTTATACACAAGGACATCATCTACCAGGGTTTCAGTGATATTTCAACTGAGGAGCTGAGCGATTCCTGAGTGGCAGTGAGGGGATGCTGTCATTTTCTATTTCATTTCAACTTCAACTGGTATGCAAACACTGCTGCAGGGACTTTTTCCACACTGTGGAATTGTTTTTAGGCAGACTAGAGCAAATGTAACATTTCAGTCACGAGATGGTCAGCTACTGTAATCCGATTACTTTTTTCAAGTAACGAGTAAAGCAAGGGATTACTATTGCAAAAAAGCAATTAGATTATTGTTACTTTCCCGTAAGCTCGCAGTGTTACTGCGTTACTAAACTGTGATTTTGTTTTTGAGAGTGTCTCATGACATTGACGTATGAGGCAGCAACAGACGTGTGCAGATTAACAATGAACAATATGGAGTGCGGGAGAGAGTACGACCATGCAGCGTTTAAAGCTTGGAAGTACTGACATTACTTTGAGTTTGATTCTGTAAAAGTGGCAAAAACATTAGCGTCCGCTGTTACTCTGAGTGGGAAGAAAACTTCTTTCTTGAAAAATTAAACTTCAAATCTGAGTACGCACCAAGCACGCTACCACGGGAATGTGAAATTCACAGAGAAACCCCCGCTGTGATGACCGCTGCTGCACCGGCAAACCTCCATCCGCCCCGCTCCTGCTAGGTGAAAATTAGATTTAAGAGCGACAGGACTCAGAGCTGCTGAGTCTTTGATTTTATTTATTTTCTGCTGTGTTTTACTTGCATCTATTTGAAAGAGGGAGTGTAAACACAAAAACATTATCTTATTTTATATGCTGAAATATGCAGAAAATAGGTTTAAATGTTAAATAATTTCTGCAAGTCAAAGACAGCTGCATATAATTAAATTTTTGTTTAATGCAATGTGCATAAAATTAAAAGATTAAAACTCATAAAACAATTTTAAAAAAGATGTTTTCATTTGATTCAATTTTATATGGATTATGCAGGAAAAAAATAGATTTGGGCTGAAAGGTCTGTTGTTTTATTACATATTCAGGTTGCGTATCATGTTTTTAAAAAGTAACTAAGTAATAAGGTAAGTAATTACTTTTGAAAACAAGTAATCAGAAAAGTAACATATTCTCTTGGAGAGGTAATCAGTAACGAATTACTTTTTTAAAGTAACTTGCCCAACACTGGTCACCAGTCTTTGTTAGGCCTCCCTCCTGTTATTTTGTCTTTGTGCTGCTGTTATTTTTTATTTTTTTAAACTTGTGCTTGATTTTTACTTTCAGTTTCGTGTTTGTGCAGCGCCTTTTATGACTTTTGATATCACTGAATGTGTTTTGTCATGTGACTACCTGCAGGTCTGCCTTGGATTTTTGTCTGTGACTGTTTCAGGTTCTGTCATGGTTCGGCTGTGTACAGGCAGGAGAAGGACCCAAACGCAAAACTCACGACAACGAAATTAAACTCAAAAAGCTGCTTTATTGCAGAATGGCGTGGAAAACTAAACTGGGACATGGATGACTAACACACATGGAAACACAGCCATGAGGGAGACTACGACACTGACAAAGAGAAACACAGGGCTCAAATACACAGAGGGATAAGGAGGGAACAAGACACAGAAGGAGAGCACAGCTGGGAGTAATCAGGCCGGACGAGACAAGGGAAGCAAAACTAGAAATACTGACATGAGACACGGACCTTCAAAGTAAAACAGGAAACACACTGACTGAACTCTAGACATGCAAACTTAACAGCAACTGGGGAGACAGAACATAGGAACCTGAAACATGGAACACAGGGAAGCCATATTACAAAGCCAAAGAACTAAACCTATGATAACCATAACTGAGACCTAG